TAATATGTTTTATTATATAAATATATATTTATATGATATATGTATAATATATAATATATATAATATATATTATATATTTTATTGTATTGTATATATTATATAATAGTATATCTTATATATAATATATCATATATATTATATATTATATAAATTACATATATATAGTATAGTATATTATATATTATATTATATATAATATAATATATAATATATATTATATTATATATATAATATAGTATATTATATATATGTTTTATTATATATATAAATATATATTATATGTATTTATATATAATAAAACATCCAGCCTGTGCTGTAGGCACTGGGCAGGGGCTCTGCTGTCACTGGTGTCACTGGTGTCAGGACACTGACCTGGTCTGGTGTTTGTTCTCCCTCTGCATCAGCAGAACTCTGATGTTCTCCCCACCTTGCCCTCCCAGGTTTCCATCCCAGCACTTCCATCCTCCTGCAGCCTCAGGGATGAAGCCCAAAAGAAGGCAGAGCTCCGTGCCTCTGCACAAGCACAGCTGTAAAATAATACAAGCCTGTGCTTTTACTGCAGAAATATGAGTGTGATTAATAAAGCTGCACTGGCTCCCACACAGGAATGCTTGCTGAGCACCTGTAGGTATAAACAGGAATATAAACTTCCACAAATACAGCTCGGATCAGAAACAAATGGATGATTGTCTGTGACAAAGAGCTCTCCCAGGCCAGGATCCTTTCGGTGCTGTTGGCTGTAACTCTATCAGCCCCTTCCCCTCCCCTGTTACGAGGCAGGTGCCACTGAATGATGAAAACTTGCTTTATTTCAGCCTCCCCACTCAGCCCCCAAGCCAGAGCTTTCCAAAACACTTTCCCTGCAGGAGTTCTAATAATGCCTTTTGCAGCCACCGTAATTAGCTGTTTACCCCCCAAACATCACTTTTTTTGGCACAACTCTCCCAAATTACCTCACCCACTTTCCATGCAGGAGAATTTCATGTTTGGGAAAGTGGATTATTGGAGGATTTACTTCTCTCGAGCAGGGAGAGTGGCGCTCAGCCTGCGGGACAGCTGCTGGGAGGGCTGCGGGAGGAAGGCTCTGCTCCCACTCCTCCTCCTCCTCGGGCTGGCTCACAGCAGCAGCTGCCGAGTCTTCTCGTATGTCCCCAGGAAAATGAAGCCTCCCAGGCTGATGGCTGCCATCCGTGGGACAACACCTGCGAACAAGCTGAAGGCAGAGGGAAGGAGCTTTGAGAGAGGAGCAAAGAGAGGATGCAGGGGCTGCTTCAGGAAGCAGAGCCAAGAACAACTCTCCCTTGCTGGTTTCCTAAATCCCACCCCACTACTCATGCAGGGATCTGTCTGGGCTTCCCTAACACAGCTTGTGGTTTTTAACCCCTCTCCACACCCCCTCGGGTGCAGCAGGACAAGACAGAGGCCATTGTGGACCACTGGGATGGGGAATTCAGGCACATGGACACAAAGAGCTGCACACAGGTGGGAACAGTCTGTCCCCAATGTCCCCACAGCCTCTCAGGGCTGCCCCTTGCACAGCCAGCCCTGCTCACTGCTGTGGCTCATTCCCAGGAGCAGAAATGTTCCATTTGTGGCACCTTCAGCTGCCACCCTTTAGGTGCCTGATCTGCATTGCTCTTCAAAATTAACAGGGAACTTGTGCAGAGCCAATTCCTTGACACATCCAAACTCACAGTTGGTTCAACAACTTCAGGACAGGCCAGTGCATCCTCCCAGAGGATTTCAGGCTTCCCTTGTGGCAAGCAAGGATTAAACTCGAATCTGTTTGGCATCCCACCCCAATTCCAGATCCATGGCACTGAGCCTGGCTGCGCTCCACAGGGATCCATCCTGTCCCTGGCTGTCCCAGCACTGCTGAGGGGGGACAAGCTGTAATTCCTGTAAGATCTGGCTGCTCAGGAGCTCCCTGCTTCCCCTGCACGGGGAAACCTCTGGCAGTAATGAGCTCTGCTAAGGAGCCTGGAGCACACAGGCAGATGGAAACATTTTATGGCTTTACTAGACAGCAATTGGGCCTATTACCATAATGACAGCTTTAAAACAGAGTAATTTGTACAAGGCATGTATGGACAGAGCACTGATAGGGCAAATCCTAGGGAGCAGCACACAGCATCCCTCTCCTGCCGAATTAGGGAGCTCATTACAGAGCAGGGGCAGACACTGCAGACATTTGTTTCCAGAACAGCCCACTCGAGACACAGCTATTACACAAACAGGGGCCCATAACTGAGTTACCCAGAAGCTGCATCCCTGGCAACCCCCATCACCAACCATCACTTCCAAGAATCCTGGCCCTGCTTCTCCCAGTCTCCTGTTCCCACCTGCCAGTCCACGCTTCCCCCATGGGGTCCCCCTCTGCGTAAGGGCAGAGCTCAAAGATGCAGGGAGGTCCCAGATCCAGAGAGCAGAGCTCTGTGGCAGGTCTGATCCTCTGGACCACGCCTGCCTCCACCAGCAGAGGAGATAAATTGGGTTTATTTCTGCTGGCCCCATCAGAAGCTGCTCTGGTGGGCAGGGATCTGCTGTCCAGTTGCATTTGGTCTGTGTCTGCAGATTTCACCTGGCTCTTGGCCACTCCTCAGCTCCTAACAGGACCCCTGCAGTTACCCTTTGGATCACTGAATCATGCAGGTTGGAAAAGGACAAGCCCAAAATAAGCCAGCACTACCACTAGCCCATGTCCCCAAGCAGCACAGTTACACATGTTCCACCACAAGAACACCACAAGAACACTCCAGGGATGCTGATTCTACCACTTCCCTGGGAAACAGAGCAAGGCAGTACAGGGCCTGGACACAGCACAGAGGGCCCAGTGCTGATAAAAGCACTGTGTGTAACTTGCAGCCCAGTGCTGGAGGCTTTTTCCTCCCTGCTTGGCTGCCAGGTAAAATTCCTCAGAGATTGAACCCTTTTCTACTCCCCAAAGAGAATTTTCCTGCTCTCCTTCCCTGGAGGGGCTGTCCAGCACCAGAGGCTTTCCCTGTGCATGTGCTGTTACTGCTGAGGCTTGTGCCCTTCTGGTATTTTTCTACTGAAACCCAGATTCATGACCCACACTTCAACAAATAAAACCAAACGATGTTGAGGGATTGTTATTCCAAAACTAAATCAGTACCTCACATGTGCCAGTTCTGCTCTGG